CCGAAGGCCTTTGGAACGCTCGGAGCCGGTCGGATCCTCCTGCCCAAACGACCGCAGCACGGCCGCGTACATCCGGGACCTTTCCGTGTCGGAGCCTGATCCCACTACTCCTTTCTAGTATGCGCCGCCGTTTCCACCGTTTGGTGGCGGGTATGTCGACGGGTCATTTCTTGTTTCCGTACTTCATAAACTGTATTCATTTCTTTTTTGATCTAAAATACTGAACAAAAACTACTTTTATAAATCATTGAAACGGTTCGCGCCACTTATATTTTGTATTTCGACTAAAAAGAAACTTTTAGCGGCTCTGACCAGTAGTAAGCCCAGGACCAAAGACTTTACATTTTGCGCGCTTTCGGTACCGCGGGTCGTCCGGTTAAAATATGACGCACTGAAATTTAGTTACTCTCTCCGTGCCCGCTGGCTTGCCCGAACACCAAGAGACGTGGAAACTGCAAAAAAGGTGGATGCTTAAATATGATTGCAGGGCCCCTTTAAGAGGTCGTAAGAGTGTGAACGGGCCTCCATTCTTGGACTGGGAATAATGCTAAACCAATTAATCATCTAAATACCCAAAAACCCATTAAAAAGGCCCGCAGTTCATTATTTCCCAATACAATTATCTGAACGAGAAAAGGCTGCGAGAACGCAAAAATATCAGTTCTGATTTTTTCGACAACTACAATATGAACCTAAAGCGAACATGCATGTCACAAAATGAAGTTTCTGCGAACAACCTAACTTAATATTTACCATATGGGACAGATCTTGAGTTATGAAAGAATCCGAAATTAAGACCTAAAAAATTTTGGGGTTTTACGTGCCAAACCTACGACGGGCATCTGGCACGCCCCAGCGGAGGACTGAGGATTAATTTCGACCACCTGATGATCTTTAGACGTGCAACCGAAAGCTCGGTTACACGGCGCCTTCAAATTAAGACCTATATCGAGAAATTAAATCTAAAATAGAGGCTAGTTTCGGTTTCGCTCCAGAATTAAAAATCGTATCCTTGCGTAAATATTACGCTAAACACCATTCTTGTTTTCAGGGTAAAGAGGTGAGCTAAGCTCATAACACCCTAGCTTCCTCGTATTAATACAAATAAATTGTGTCGCTCAGTGAAGCCAGCACACTAGACAGGCTCCCCAACAGCGGCACGCATCTCTGACCCTCACTATAACCGCCATTTTGGAAAATGAGTGGCGCTACCTATAGTTAGTTGGAGTCTTGAATACCGAGTATTGCTTTTCTGTTGGCTTTCGGTTTCGATTGCAACGCGCATGTGTTTCTGGACACTGATTTTAGCGGAAAAAAAAAAAAAAAGTGAGCGTTAGATACGCGCAAACACGGTATTTATTAGCTCGCAAAAAAGGAGCAGTTTTGAGTTTTGCTTTGCCAAGCCTATTGCGAGTCACTTTTCAACTACCCACCTCAAAAAGGGAGTGCTTATGTACTGAACATGTAGAACAATAAATTTTCTTGCATAATAATTTGGAATAATTGCATTAGCAGTGATGTGATTGGCCTAAGCCATTTTGGAGCACCTTTTGGAGCAGCCAAAACAGTGTTTTGGAGCAGCAAATGTGGCTTTTGGAGCAGCCAAAACAGTGTTTCGGAGCAGAAAAAGTGACTTTTGGAGGAGATATTGTTAGAAAAATAAATAGTTGTTTTAAGTGCTAAACAAACGAAGGACACTTTGTGTTGTGTTGTGATGCGTGTGACGTGTTGGGGCGGAGTTCGCTGCTTGTGTTTTTGCTGCTGAGACATCCCACAAGTATACAGTGCTGTAGGCGTCGCCGAGCAATTAAAAAAAAACAAAAAAACTTTTTATTGTTTTTGCTGGTTCCCGACGTGGCAGATTTTTATAAAAAGTAAGCTAACGTAAAACAATGGATTGCAAGCGTCCCGGCTGGTGCCTCTCGTGCAATCATGTTCACATGCACGTGAGGGCTACTTCGGCAGGCTTGCAGTTACACGCGCTTCGTCGCGCGACTGGAGACAACGGCAGTTCGACCGAAACCGAAACCATGCCACTCCGCTCCGTCGCCAACTGGTTCCCAAAATAGTATGCAAAATGTAACTGTCCAGCATACGACAATAAACAGTACAGCGGCACGTGCTTGCCAGGCCGGCAGGCGAGGTACAGGCTAAACACGCAGAAAAAAAGAACCTGAGCGTATCGATGCAAGAGACTGCGAATCAGGGTCAAAAAGCTCTTGGAGCGCTTTCTGCAACGACCGAACTCGAGACAAACAAGCGCAGTGTGCGGGTTCAGCGTGCAGACCATTGCCTTCTTTGCTTTTGCTCACTTCTCGTCATCAACTTTCTTTCGCGGCAGATTTTCCACGTACCGGGGTCCCTCTCGAAAGAAAGTCCACCGAGAGAAACCTAGGTAATCAAAACTTCGCCAAGTAGTCATTGAGTTAAAGAGGGATTTTTATAGCAGCGTATGATTTAAACAAGAGCAGGAATGTCGATGCGTTTCAGTTTAGAAAGCGCCACATCTGCAGCGACGTGGGGACGGCAACACACGACGTCACGCGATCACGGCGACTGCGGTCGCGCGAGCGCTTCAGCTCACGAAGTAACTCTCGCCGCGCAAAAACGTGGTTTTGTTTCACAGCATGACGGTATGTCTGGAACCCGGCACACTAACTAACGTCGGAGCGTTCGCACATTCCCGCGCCTATCGCTAAAAAATTTAAAAAAAGAAAAAAAAAAGAAAAGAAAAGACCCAAGACGACGAGAGCGCGAAACGCGAACGGCGGAAAGAACCATGCAAGACCGAATAGACGATTGATGCAGGGTACTTTGTGTCGGGCGGCGTCTTGTGCCACCTAGCTCACGCATGCTCAATTACGGTTCTCAGCTTAGTTTCGTTTTTGAAAGGCGACCAAAATTGGTCTTTTGGCGCAGGCTTGGCGCAGATTAGCCATATTTTGGCGAAATGTAGCAGGATGTAGCAGAGTTAACCCCTTGGGGCAGTTTGGAGCAATTGGCGCAGCAATCACATCACTGCATTAGCAGCTGATATCTAACTTGCTGGCTAGTCAAGGGCAATTTCACTTATTTCCTTAAGAAAGGTCACTACCAGTTGTTTGTTTAACAACATTACATGGTGCATTTTTACATGCTATTAGACCATGTCGAGTTTTGTACAATATTAATTTTGCGAACTCGTAGAACTTATCAGTTGCACCTTTTGCCTGCTTTCATGTACAATTGACAGGTGATTACGAGTCAAAGTAAATAGCATTGTTTATATGCTGCCTAGTCAGGTAGTTTCATTTATGTACTTGAATTTGTTAACATCATTTTCGGTTTTGAAGGTAATAACAAAACTATTTGCATATTTTCCTTTGTTATTTACTTAATGGTACACACATATTCGGAACATATTCGATATTCAAAGCTATTTTTCTTTAATATTCATATTAGATTCATATTTAAAAATTTCAATATTCGTACATGCCTAGTCATCTGGCAATTGCAGTAGTGATTCCAACTACTACAGTCGGGCCAAATTATATCAAATATGGATATTTCGAAGAGTGAAAACATTCACTTGAAAACCCCTTGTTAAGGCAGAAGCACCCTGTGAATCTATATCAAACTCCACAGCCGGGGATATTCGATACATCGAACCGCATGCCGCGCCTCTGGTAGCATGTGGGGCTTTTCCCCAACACCGCCACTGCTGCATGCTTTGCACGAGCTGAGGAGACGACTCGCCACAGGCAGCGAGGGGTGAAGAAATGCAGGGGAGAAGAATCAAGTCTTTGGCTAGTTGAGTGTGGCGACAGCAGTTGTGTAATCATGCTTTGAACGCCTTCTTTACGTTTGTTTACCTTGTCCTTTCGCCGCTTTTGCTTTGCTGATTTTTTTTTTCATCTTTTTTTTTTTTTTGCTGTGTGTTATGTTTTTTGTTGTTGCTCGCTTGATCGTTTTCTATAGATGGAGATTTTTTTTTTTTATCCATCGCACTCTTTCAGTTTTCTTTTTAATTATTTTCGTGTTCCGTTCGTTGCCTGCGCTGTGGAAATCGAGGCTAAAAGCTCCCCCGTTTGTCACAATTTTCGGTGTTAACAGAGACGCTCAGAAATTTCAACTGAAGCTTAAGCGAACATTCTTTTGTATATCAAATTATAGATATATGAAACTATTTTACAATCCCCTTTGAGTTTAATATGTCTGGGCTTGACTGTATTAGAGGCTAAACCAATTCCGATATTTTGCGAAAAGGCAATGGCCTTCGAGATATTCATAGATCAGTTATCACGTTTTTGCTGCCCGATTCCGGAACTCTATGCAGAAAAAGCACTGCAACCCCTGTTCCCAATCATGCCTAGAATAGAGACATCCTCATTTCTGGCACCTCATCACGAGCTTGTTAGGAGGTTCCAGGATGCGCTGCTTGATGGATGCACTGCCAAGATGAAAGTCACAACTAAGCTGCTCTTCTAAGTGTCATTGTGGACAAGACTTGTGGCACTCTGCGCATCGTTTTGAAATCGGGTGACAAAAACAAGTGATAAACGAGTATCTAAACCCATTCTCTTTACACAAATTGTTTAAATTGGTTTAGCCTCTCACAATGACTACCTTAATTGCAACATGAACAATCTAGCCATTAATTAAAAAGTTGATAAACTTTAGCTCGTTATCCAACGTCCTGCAGCAATTATTCCCCCATTTAATGTCTGCCAAGCCCCATAAATGCATTGAAGATTGCAAACACCCTGGATATAAAAGTCAAGGAGACCAGTTACCTCCTTTGAGATTATAAGGCAAATGGGAGCTTGCAAAAAATAAAAATAATTTGAGAATTTATATCTGCAGTTAACAAAGTGCACGAGTGATGCTACGGTGCAACTGATTTGGACCACCTAAAGAAATCGCTGCAATGTAAGGTGCACCAAAAAAGTAGCGGGTAGCACCACCAAGATGCAACATGGGCCTCTAGCTTTTACGCAGCCCAGCAAGGTGTCACAACTTACCTCGTAGACCAGTTCATGGTGGAAGTGTGGCACTTCGAGATCTTGCAGGCACCGGATGGCCTCATTCACATCCCCCGAGCACAAATACTCCTTGAGCAACATTTGAATCTGCACAACGAGCACCAGGGAACCATTTCAAGTAAGAGACAATACCATGTTTCTTAAAATGCCGCTCAAACTAATGCCGGCTTGGTGAGAACGCAACAGGACCACCAGTGGGGCAACCTCGTTCACGCGCAGTCCGAGTTACAGTATGCGTACGGCCAGTGTAGAGAAAGCACATGAAGATGCATACTGCTCTACGCTCATTACTTGGAGCACGCCCTCGTTTGGACACCACATGGCGCATTTGCAGCATACTACGTCAAAGCAGCACATCCGTTGCAACCAGCGGTGCCAGATCTGAAAGCGGCTAAAATTGAAATAAAAAAATGCCCAAGAGATTCAAGTGAGCGTATGCTACCCAAATTAATTGATCAAGAAACTGTGGATAAGTTCAATGACTACTTCACTAACATAGGGCCAATACTGACAGCACAGCTGCCATGTGTACCAGACCCCCACCTAGTCTCTAAATTCAGTTAATAGTTTTGCTATGCAGTTAACTGAATGGGCCGAAATTATTAGAACTGTAAGGCCTCATTCACTCAGCCTGCTGGGAGGCGTTCCTGTCAGGGGAGAGGGTTTTCAAACCAGTTTGGGACCCTAATTGCGCCGCCAGACCCGAAAGGAGCCAGAAAACTATGCTCTACGGTTTCGGCGCAGACGGGAGACAGGGGGGCGCCGGAGTCCCCCCTCAAAGGGGAAGGACCAATCCCAAAATAGGAAACTTTCGCTCAATCTGGCGGATTCTCAAACGTTGGGTGACCATGGGCACGGCCGCGGGATGGGGCATTAACCGTACCATGCCTTAACGACGAAGCTCTTTACGGGAAGGAGCGGGATGACGCGCACATTGCGCTATGTTTACGGCTCTTAAACCTCTTAAACAACGGTCATATAGAAATTTGGATTTACCACTGAACTGCTGCTCGAAATGCTGAGACCACATCTGTTCCTTTACAATAGACGTAAATGCGATTTTAAGGGAGAACAGCGAAAGGGGAAAAAAATATGACAGTAAATCATCGGGGAAGAAATGTGGCAGAATGAGCAATTGATGTGAAACATGCTCACAGTGGATTTTGTCCCGTTTGTTTCGAAAAGTGAAGACATATAAAATGCTTTCGAACATGCAAGATTGTTCTCGCCGACCCAAATGCAAGCTCCAAGAAACAAAACAGTTGAGGTGACGCCCATCGACGCCGATCGTCCGCTACATTTGGTGATCGGCGCCACCACAAAGTAGTCACAAAGATGGGGTTACAAGATTGGTGGACTAGGAAGAAATTGCGCACAGAATTAATGGGTTACACCGATTACCATAGAACACTGTGCATCCACCCTAAGCACCCATCTGCCAAATTTGAAAAATCTGAAATAATATGCAAAGTACATATGTATGAAAAATTTATGACCTCACATGCACCCATCCTTTTTTTTTTTTTTGTGTGATTATCTTCAAATTTTGAGTGGGCACTTGCTCAGTATTTTACGGTATACAGTGTAACGGGGTACAAAAGTTTGACGCAGAATTTGAAACGAAGGTGCAGAAAGGTTTCTAGGCTAAGTGGCACAAGCTACCGCCCAATATCAGAGCCGTATATTGGGAGAGTTTGGCCAGTGGGTGTGGTGACGAAGGCGCCGGAGAGGAGAAAAGTAAATGAAAGGGAGGAGAGCGCCGAAGGAGCGAGAGAGAAAGAAGGGAGCAGAGAGGAGACGACCGCCATTTATTAGCAAATCTGTCGGAGACTGGTCGGAGAAGAGCACTGCTGAGGCTATGCGTCGTCTGCTACGGACCGACTTCTTTTTCGCCTGAATAAACGTTTGTGGCCTTACGCCGAAAAATCTTCATTTATTAGCTTTTTAACCCACCGAGGAATAACAGAATGTCATTTTCTTGCCAGAGCCAGCGATATAAAAGGCAATAATCGAGATTTAGATGCCGACCCCATGCATTCTGCCGCTAGAATGAACGAAAATGGCGGCCCTCCCCGCTCAGCTGGAAGCAGCCGGGAGTTCACGTGCATGCGCTCATGCCTCTCGCTCTGCGCCGCGTGCTGATTGACTCACTCGGGAGGAGAGCGTTACAGTGGCGAGATCATAGACTGACCAAACTCTCCTCATATATGGCTCTGCCCAATACAGAGGGTACAGTCACCACCACCCGTCCATCTATGTAGCCACCGTCGGCAGCTCCGTCACCGCTGGTTTGAACACTTGACCGTCCTTGCACCGCCCCGATTTCAGTACAGCGCCCGGGGCGCTGGTGCCGGGATGGGGCGAGGAGCTGGCTGTGTGAATGAGGCCTTACGAGTCCTACGATTTGTATAGCAGCTGTTCTCCATACGATACTTGTTAGGTAATTAAATATTGATATATTTAATAACCTAAAATTGATATATTAGGTATTCATCTCCTGCATCCGTTTAATCATTAATTGAAGAATGCAGTATATCCAGAAGAACTTAAGATAGCTAAAGTGCTGCGTATCTTTAAGGATGAAGATCCTGCTGAACCGTCTAGTTACAGACCAACACCCGTTTTAAATGTAATTAACAGTTTTTGAGGAACAAATTTTCAGACACATTAAGGAATTTTTAATTAAGTACAGCCTTGTTTGCTATAATCAACACTGACTTCGGCCTAACAGGTCAACTTCCTCCGCGGCACTTACACAGACTCGGCTTCTTAATAAGGCTCTCCACGACAATTACATTGCTGCAGTTGTAATTTTGGATATACAAAAAAAAGGCCTATGACACGGCTCATTACTACTCTTTTTAATAAGCTACATAATTATGGCTTCCAAAGCAAAATATTGGAGTTATTTACTAGTTATTTATCTGATCTGATCTGATAGGTGAACTGCAAGACAAAATAAGCGAGGAACTGACCTGGGTTCTACTTTGGCTTCCCCAAAAATCAACTTACTCTTAGCATCAAGAAAACAAAGTACACAGCGTTCCACTCCCGGGAAAAAAATAAATTATGAAGGGTCAACTATAAACATGGATAATATGCAGTTGGAGCATGTTTCCAGTTACAAATGTTTTGATGTCTTATTTGAATCAGATATGAACTGGAAACAATAAAAGCATCTGTTCAAGGGTAGCTTATGGTTGTTAAACATTGCTAGGGCCATGGGAGTGCTTAGATCTATATATTCTGCGCATGCTTTATTCTGCATTTGTACAAAGAGCCAAGTTATGAAATAGAGTCCCGGGGTGGTACATACCGTATTTACTCGTATAATGAATGCACCCCCCATAACGGGAACCAATATTTGGACTTCTTTTCCCCCTCGCGTGATGAACGCACTTCCAATTTTCGGCTCCGCTAGTCTCGAACTGCGTCCAACTTAGCTAGCCACCAAGCCAATTTCCTTTTGCCGCCAAACGGTCAGGCCAAGTCAAGTCAAGCCAAGCCGCTCTCGTACTGGCTGCAAGTGCATGGTTGCAGAAGTGATCAACTGTGAAACCGAGCAACGCGCACACTTGACGAAGCTTGGGTCGAGGAACTGCCCAGCCCCGGACACTCTTCACCTATCGGATGCACAGATGTCAACAAACACGCCGTCGTCTGTGGTCCGCTTTTGGACGGTGAAATCGTGAAAGTGGTTAGGCTGAACGGTAGCGTTGCTCTCAGTGCTGAGTGAGCTTCGTAGGGCGCTTTTCCTTCGGCAAAAGGCACGCCGAAGGCACCCTAAAAAGGTTTGCAATTTATAAAGCATTGTTACAGTGGCGCGCCCCCGAGCCGTGGGTGTGCCTCCATCAGTGGAGACATGCCACAGTACCTTGCAGTGTCATATTGGCACCTAATATGACATTTGCATGAAGTGTGTAAATGCAAAATTACCCCGCATAATGAATGCACCCCTCCAAATATGTGTAAATTTTTCGGGAAAAAAAGTGTGTTCATTATGCAAGTAAATACGGTATACCCAGGGGCGGATGCAGGAATTTCCTGAGGGGGGGGGTGGTCAGGTGTTGGTCAGCGTACCATATGTTTAGGAACCCCCTCCCCCTCTCCCTTGTCTTACACCCTAAATTTTACACGTGTAAAAATCAAGAGGGGGGGTCAGGACATCCGGACTCCCCCTCTAAGTCCGCCCCTGGGTATACCAGATACCTAGAACCGATTATACGCTTACAGAAACAAGACCCAAGAGTTCTTGCATACTCAAGAACTACCGACCCAAGCAGACCCCTTTTTCGATTAATTTGGGTGTTACCTCTTACCTTTTGTATACAAAATAAAACTGTCCAAACAGTTTATACAGTAATGAAATCTAACGATCCACTTCCCCTAAGGTTGTTTAAATCTCCAACACGACACACGAGGGCTGCAACAAGTAATTTGTTTAATTTACCATTATGTCACAATACCTGTGGAAAAAGACTAATAGAGTTTAACGGTGCCCTAATTTGGGAAGATATAGTCATGTCTCGTTAATATGGACGAAATTTTCAGCGACTGATCTTAGACAAGCAATTTTTCCCTGTTAATATTGAAACTCGCAGGTCGGACTATGAACTGCTATTTTAGGGACGAATTGAGTAAATACAGGCATTTTGGTCTTTTAGTACAAACGCCAATAAGACTAAAAAAAATGGTCCAAAAACTTCATCAGTGAACCCAAGAGGTCGCAATGTGCACCCAGACGTTCTTTGCGAGTCTTGCGATAAGAGCTCCGCGACAAAATATGTTGGTTTTGTTTTTATTGTAAAATGGCCATTACTGCTTCGTTTTCTGTTGCTTGAGATTGTGTATGACCTATAACCAGGAACAAAGAAGAATGAACCCTAAAGCAGCTTTAGTCGGTCACAGGCCAAGAGTAAAGTGGAAGCTCCTCTCACCTCTTTGCAAAGCGAACGCTAGAGAGAGGAGGTCGGCTTCTCTTCAGCGTTCGCACTGCTCAAGTAGGAGCTCTGAACCCAGGACGCTCACTTTTTCTATACTCCATTTCATGGTCGCTTGGCAACGGCTACAGTTTAAGCGAGCCAATC